ACACTCGGAGCCTGTGCAGAAATTGGACAACTACTCTGAAACTATTTTTTTAGTTATAGATAATTCTGATTTTCGTTTTTTCCTTTCCTTGTAAATAAGTGCAACTATCATGAGTATGACCTCCACTGAGGTATATCTCCTGACACATAATTGAATAAGGCAACCTCTTTCTTTTCTTTTCCCTTTTTTTAGGTGGGATACGTTGGTACAAAGTAACTTGACAAACGAACAAACTACAGTCATGCCTTCACAGCCAGTAACTTAGGCACGATAACTTCGGCACGATGAGAAAAAAAATTGTACACTGAGTCTTGGTTAGGCCTCATCATTAAGAAGGAAGACACTTTACCTGAAGGATGGTCTCAGCTGTCCATGGAACAGTCCATGGTTTTCCGATCGCTATAAATACTACATCTGCAGCCTGAAAAGCATGAAGCTCTCGTTAAACGTGAGAAAAGATTGTCTTTAGTAATTGATCATCTGTGTCAATAATTAACAAATACTCATCAAAGAAAAGTCTTCCTGCAAGGATGTGGAGCAATGAGCCTAAAGCATATCTATAAAGAATAGTTCTTGTCTTCTTGAAGGCCCTAATCTCCGAATTAACTAATGCACAGCACATGGACTCAACACTCTGGTGAACCTGTTTGAGACACATAGGGCAGTTGCCCTTTTGGCATACAGTTATCCATTGGAAAGAAGGGATTTGGATAGCATGCTTGGCAAAAGATGGGATTGTAGAAAATATGTTTTTTCTCTTTCCTTTTTCAGCAGACTACAAGGACAAAGAAAAAGATTAAAACTAGCAAATCTAAGATGAAGCTTTTGTTACCAATACAAAAGTTCAAGGGACTTAGAAAGTGATTTCTAATTGTGGAAGAATGTCATTATAAACAACGTTTAAATGGTTCATAGAAGGAACTAATTTCAAACTCTCATGTAATAATTGCCTTCTAGATTCAAATGTATCCTCGGGAAAGCTAACTCCTGTTCAGCAGAAATGATGGTGGGTTCTCCTTAAGAAATACAATTTGATACAGGTAATACTAGTCAAGACAGAAGGTTGCCATGAAAAATAAAGCAACAGAAAAAACATACAACACACNCCCCCCCCCCAAAAAAAAAAAAACCCTCCAAACAAAAAAATATCATGGCAAATAAGGGACTCATAGCTCCATTGCTGCATGGCATGCAAGAAACACCATCTCTATAAATGAAAGCATATTACCTCTCTAAGTCGCGAAATCCAGTTTCTTTTCTCAACGCCTGGTTTATCAATTTCTGGCTTCTTCAATTCCTCATGTAAAACTTCATCAATAAACTCAGGGTTGGAGGCACCTGGAGACGGTTCTTCATTCCTAAAGCATGAAATTTTCCACCTCTGCAAAATTGTTAAGTATCTAAAGTCTAGAAATGTACATACCCAAGTAGCATAAGAAATCATTAGAAGACATTGAATGTACTGGATAAATACTTAAAATAAGTGACATTCAATTTACTCATAGTACCACATTACTTCAAAAAAATTACTACAGTTAACTGCAGTAATTTAACAGCTGAACATGTACACCACATCACAAACCAAAAAACAACAACCTAACTCGCTTAAATTGAAGTACCATCACGGTATAAGAACAAGAAACCAAAGCACAACTCTATTAACATCAAAAAATAATTGTGGCAGCTGATCTGTCCAATGGAAATGACCTCTCTATCTATGAAACACCCAAATGCGCACAGAACAGAATCGCTAGTAAAGGTTGAAACTTTGTGGTAGGCAACCTTGGGCATCCCAGTAAACATAAACCCTCCCCACAACTAAAAGCACAAAGAATTAACAAAATACACATCAGAAATACAGAAAAATGAACAAAAGTTGGAACTTTACGGGGAATAAAGAATGTTCAAGAAGATCATTATCTGGGTTCAGATATAAAATCACTAGTAAAGGTTGAAACTTTGAGGTAGGTAACCTTGGATATCCTAGAAGAAAACAAACGCACTACCTATATCATCTTACCCCAAAACTATAAAAACAAAGCATTAACAAAATAAACTCTACAAATGAGTACAGATTGAAACGTTATGAAGCGTATAGACTGAAATGTTACAAAAAGATAACTATTTGAGTTCATACGCAGAATTAATTGGTACAGGTAGAAACTGTGTAATAGGTTACCTTGGATGACCTAGCAAACATAAATCCGCTACTCATATTACCTAATGCCACAACTATAAACACTAAGAATAAATAACTAAACTCTAGAAATACCCAAAAAACGAGTAAAGATCGGAAATTTATGACGAGTAAAGATCAAATGTCACAAAACCAGATTTACCAAAAAAAAAACACACTACCTACTACCTATATTACCTACACCCACAACTATAAACACAAAGAATCAACAAACCGAACTCCAGAAATACAGAACAATGAGCAAAGAATCAAACTTATGCCCAGCAAAGATTGAATTGAACAAAAAAGATTCAGAAAAAACAAACCCAGTACCTTACTACCAACTCCCACAACTATAAACACAAAGATTCAGCAAATTAAACTCTAAAGATACATAATAACCATAAACTACTAAAGCCCACAACTAAAACACAAACAGTATTAAGCTCTAAAGATACATAATAATCATAAGGATTGGAACTTTATGGCTAGTAAATATGAAATTTACAGAAAAAAACATAAGCCCACTACCTATATTACCAAAGCCCACAACTAAAAACACAAAGATTCAATAAATTGAGCTCCAATGATACAAAATAATAATAAAGATTACAACTTTATGGCAAAAAAAGATTGAATTGCTAGAAAAAATGTTACCTTGGTAGAAATCCGGTGATGGGGTTCAGAGATTTTGACTCTATGTGGAAGTGTGGGTAGAGATTTGGGGGAAAATGTGGAAACCCTAAATTTAGGAGCTGAAGTTGAAAGGAGAGGGCGTTGGGGAAAAGAGTGAGTATAATTGGAGCTCAGCATGAGACCAATTTGATTATGGTAAAGATAAGAAGCTCTAATTTTGTGAGCAAATGGAGGAATTGAATACATTGGATTTGTGCATTTTTCATCTACATTGCTTCTTCCTCGAAGCACAAAAAAAAAACCCTAGTGGATGGTTTTCATTTAATTTTGAGATTGCAATTTTTTCTTCTTTTTTATTTTTATTTTATTTTATTTTGAGATTGACGTTTTTGACGGTTGACGTGAGGAAGAGAATCTATTGGATTCTATTATCGCTTGGTACAGTAGGGAATATTGTTCCTTTCCAGATTTCCTTCTTTTTTAAAAAATAGTTTTTTCTGTTATTTAAAGAAAAATAATGCTCTCAAAATAATAGCTAAAAATTTATATTTATATATATATATTTGTATATAATATATAAAAAATATACAAATTTTATATATATTTTAGCTATTGTATGTGAATACTTTCGATCGTGAGTTAAAAATAATTTTTGCCCATTATTTAATCTGCAACAGACCTCAATTTGTTTGCAAATAACAACTAATGCATAGTTGTTGACTTGTTGTTTGCTTATAGAGCTTCTTTTCCTTATTTCTATTTATGTAATTGTTGATACGGCATGTTATTGACATTATTTGTCTTATAAAAATTCTAACTTGCTTAAGAAAATATTTTAATAATTTTAATCATAAAAGTATTTGTTTAAAAGTAATAAAGATCTTTTAATTTTCTTTAAAACGTCGAACATTGTGAAACAAGTACATGACTAATATTTAAGACTAGAGGAAGTATTATTCACGTGAATCTATTGGTGGAGTGATACACATACAAATAAATTACTATTATTAATGAGATGCATATTTAAATGGTATAGTTTCACATCAAACATTACTAAATACAATGACAAGTTATCTACGTACGAAAAAGTACACAAATATAGAGTTGTCTTGCTTTAAGGGTGAGTAGTCCCAAATCTTTGTACCAAAAGAAAATAAAAAAGGAAAGAAAAAAAGAGTAGTCCAAAATCCAAGAATCTTCACACTTCGGGGTTTTCATATTTTTTTAACCAATTGATTTTATAACTTTAACAAAGTGTTGTTGAAGGTTTTTTTTTTTTTTTTTT